ACCACTCCTTATCCCAGGAAAGTCCCTCCCACCTCCAGAAAGAAAGGGCTCTGGTTTGGCACTGCGGTACTGCCTGAGGTCTTTGAAGCTCATTGGTGGATGCTTCACTATGGCTCCGCAAGCCCCAAGAGACATGTTATGTTCTCAAACAGCCCGTGGGTTCAAAAGCTGAGCATGGGTCGTTTGGGAGGCTGGAAGTCATGGATGAACCAGGGAAAGAAACCTTGTGTAAGCTACAAGTCCAAAGATGGACGTCGCAGATTTCATGGCACGCGCCACTTGAAAGGTACAGAGATACTTGCCGCAGACTGGGAGGGTGGAGGGGTGGCATGTGGGGATACACACACTCACCCCAAATAGTACTAATGATCGAAGTTGAGGAATTGGTGGAAAACCCATGTCTTAAGGGTGGGGGAACTTCCACAAGAACGCTTCTCCTTGTCTTTTTTCAGGGTTGCCTATAGTGGCAGGGGCTCCAGGTTTCCTATCGGGTCGATTAGTTTGAGCGGTGCTGAGGAACTACCCGATCCGCTTTGGATGGAAGCTGCTGCAACTCCGTGAGCGCATGCTGTCAAACCATTCTCAACCCCCATCTAAGAATCATGGGCCCTGTTACGACAGCATGATGGAAATGCTAAAGTATTTGGATTGGGCACAGATTTGGGAGGATGCAAAGCTCCAACCTGTGTGCCATTACCTCCGCGGATCAACTCAGCTGCGACTGCCTCCAGAGATCCGGGACCTTCTCCCGAATGCCATCTAGAAGTTCATTGTTCTAGAGCACCTCAGGTTTCCAATCTAGATCGTTTTTGGGCCTCCATTTGGGGGGGGGCTTGTTGGCTGAGACCAGAGGCATTTCTGGAAAGCATTTTGGCATTCCCCACCCAAACCTTCTAAATAGGATGGACTTGGGAGTCCCCACCTGCTTTGTGCTTTTGGGTTGAAGGATGGTTTGGTGGTTTTTACAACAAAAAAGACAATTTCCTAAGTATTTTTATTGTTTTGAAGGTTCTAGTCTCCTATGGCACCGTATTCATCCGTATACCCCGTATATGACCGTACAGAACCCCGTATTTATCCGCACCATGACAGCCCGTAAATGTACCAACCGTATTTTTCCGTAAAGAACCCATAAAATCCCGTAAGAATACGTACTGAAAATACGTATTCTGAGGTGCATAACCTGGGTTTGCCCCATGGTCAACTAACGTTGTTTTTGGAGAGTTTTTCAACAACAAATACAATTTTATGATATTTTAACATTTTTTGGAGGTCTCATCATGGTTTCTATCGCTATGATTTTCTGCTTAGATGGCTTTCAGGATTTTGGGGTGCTGCGAATGCTTGAAACGGCATTCCACGACAAGCTGAAGATGAGATTTGGAAAGCTGGGGTGTAAAATTTGCCCGGCACCGTGTTGAAAGGTAAGGAGTAGGGCAAACTTGAACTCTTTTTCAGTACGATTTTATTGTTTTTGCGCGTGCGTGGGTTCAGAAAGCAGGTTTCACCGACCCAAACACTTGCCTGAGAGCTTGCACTCAATGGCGAGTGCTCCAAGTGCGCCTGCGCCGATGCCGTCGCGGAAGTGGAGCACGGGGTCTTTGGTCCGGGGAATGACCCACGTGATGGGTAAAGTGAAGGAAGAACCTTTGGCAGGGCTAAGCGATGCTGACCTTCAAGCCCGGTTGAAGGTGGGGTCATACTTTCAAATCTCTTGTGTTGCCCAAATTGTTAGTATGGCTCACATGCATGGTTGTGAGGAGCTTGAACAGAAGAGAGCGGAAACTGCTGTCGAGAACTTACCAAATCTGTTCAGATTTTGGGGTCGCCTTTGTTCGACTTGTGTTTTGGTAGTAGTTCTCCCCACGCATTAGTTCATCCACGACTTTTCAACTGGGAAGGGTGATGTGCTAGCCGCTAGCCTTGAGGTTCCGGATGGGATATATGCTGAACCTGAAGAACAAGAGACTGTACCAGCCGCACGACTGATGAACACCTTGTAAGTCTACCGGCTGTTTCTAATTTGGTTCAGGCAGCCGATGAGGAAGTTCGGGCTACACTGGCCCAACCTGTCCTACCAGCTGCGCCTGAGCCTGGTCGTGAGGCCAGCAACAGTTTTTGGCCTTCATGCGTCGGCTCCACCCCAAGACCTGCTACTTAGGCCATGTTGTTGGATATGGTGACCAAGCTTCAGGATGAGCTTGCTGAGCTGAAGTCTCGGCAACAGTCCGCCGCTCCAACCCCATCTCCCAGCGTTGCTCCTTCCGCTTTTGTTACCCCATCACCGCGAAGGGCTTCAGCGGCTTCAGGTGATTTGAGGACGTCTTCAGCCCCCAAAGAATCAAAGGCGATGAGCCCCAACAATGACCCCGGGATTGTCTCTCAGTTGCCCTCAAAGGTTTCCCCAGTAGTGAAGCCAACCAAAGCCGAAGTAGCAGCCGGTCATCCCGCGCCTTCTGGTGAGCCAAGCACAACCGGCGATGCGAAGCCTGGAGGTCATGAGGCTGGCTTGCTAAAGCAAACCGCACACGAATTGTTTACATGATCAAGTCGTGTGGTCTGACTCCTTTTCAGGCTATTCCCCAATCAGACGCAGCAAAGAAAGCCCGATTGAGAAGGGTCTGTGAAAAAAAACCGTCGGGCAAGCTGCATTGTCCAGAGTGGCTTCATGAGCTCTGGCTCAACCCCAACAACCGAGAAGACCTCATTGAGAAGTTTGAGTCTGTTGGTTGGAAGAAGGAGGGGGCCCCAGCTGTCCATGCTTCTTTCGCTTTTGCCTAACTAGCATGTTCATCTGCAGTCTTCACCGCCAGGATGCCTTTTTGCAAGTGATGACGATCGAAAAAGAGCGCAGCAACCAAAAGAAATTGGAAACCCAAAAAGGTTGGTACTCTGAGTACGATATGAAGGAAACACTGGGATGGAAACCGTATCTCGCCTGACTTTGGATGTTCAAACGCCCTGTGTATATAACTTATGATTTCCCACCCTGACATCCCCATGCTTTGGCGCAAGGGAGAGAATCCGTGGGGCTGTGGCAATGTGCAGAAAAATTTCGGGCTTTGTGAGGCCTCACGGCCCAAACGATTATGTCATATGAAGTTTTTCAGCTCTAGAATTCTTGATCTGTTGGGGGAAGTAGCAGGAAGAATATCTATGACAATGTGGAGGAGTTCTGGATTGAGACACGTACCACAGGGTCTTCTACATATGAGGAGGTGAAGAAGGAGAAAACGTCACACCGCCAGGAACGCATTGCCGCTTTCCTCAAAGGATGAAACACTGACCGTATAAATTCAGTCCTTTCAACCCTTGTTGGAGGTGTCTGGAACTAACTGTTTTTTTGCAAAAAAAACGGTTAGTTCCGGACACCTCCATATGAAGCCTCCCAGGTAGAGGACGAACCCATGATGGAAGGACCAGATGCCCCCCATTTGGTTGAAGCGCTTCTCAACGACACCAATGAGCCTGGTGGTGTGGAGGTTGGCGCAGACAAGGTTGGGGTAGTGGATGGTTGAATACCAGGGTTCCCCAACCCCATTTGAGCCCGGCGGCCTCATGCATCTCGAGCAGGCCAAGGAGCTCCAAATGTTCGTCAACTCCATCCTCAACAAATGCAGCAAGATCCACCAGCTTATCGGTGAGTTAGAGAGTCGTTATCAGGATTCCCGAGCTACCAAGCTTCTTTGATGTAATATGCAAAATGATGTGCTTCTTCCAAATCAGTCTATCCAGGGAGGAACTGGAATGTTTTGCTCCAAGGGCCATCACCGAGCTTCAAGGGTCGTGTGGCAAGATGGAGCAAGAGTATGACAAGCTGATAGAGTTGCAAACGAGGGGTGAGCTTCAAGGTATCAGCAAGTGTCTCACCTCAAGTCGACCATGAAAACAAACGATTGTCCAACACATGTCACATGTCTTTTCCAAAACCTCATTTTGTTAGCAACACCTTTCTAGGATCGAGAAAGATATTGACGCTGCCATTACGGCTGCCACGTACGTGTGCCGTGCCTGCATGAACAGGTCGCAGGTTCGGCTGCTGTAGGCGGTCACGAAATGGTGCTTCTTGATCAGGTGCTCGAAGGGCCTGGCAGACGAGGTCAAAATCAGGTCGCCTGCTTGTCAAATTAACACGAACCAGATCCGGCTTACTTTCAAGACATGAATGGGCGCCTTTTGCATTCCATGATGGTCCAAAATGTCCTTTCTTGGTTGGCCCCTAAGTAGCTCTCCTCCATACTCTTCTGAGCTAAGGAATGCAAAAGTCTCTTGGCAGAAAAAGAAGAGTAACAAGAATGCAGATGCCAAGAAACGAGCATCTCCTAGTCGTGCAGATGAGAAAGCTCCCAAGAAAAAGAAGGCGAGGTTTGTAGGCTACTATTGTATGTTCCTTTCTTGATTGAGAGGCGAGGTTGGCCACATGCTACTATCTTTCATGCCTCCCAAAATGTTTTGGGGCGCCGTTGATTTGACCTGGCAGGAGAAGTGAATTTCCATGTGAGCCTGTCATCCTGGGGTGAGTGCGCATTTTTTTGAAGACGGGGCTTCTCATGCGCGCCCAGCTGAAAGTGAAAGCGATCGTTTCTCTCCACAAGCAAAACTGCTTGAGTGGGGGAAGGTTAGTGCTGGAGCTTTTCCAACCCAGGCTAATTCCACCTTAAAAGGTTTGATGAGCAGGTAGCTGTGGGAATCCCCACAACTACGTTTTCTTTAGGTTTGAACTTTAGGGGACAGGGCCGAAGAGCTGCCAAAACAAAGTGGTTGCCCGTCGTTCAATCATTGTGTCGGGATCGGGACTCGGAACTGTTTGAGAGGAATCAAAATGATCCATGAACACCCCTAGCTTCCAATCTTCCAATCACCACCCCTGTGAAAGCCACCAGAGCGCGTGCGACTGCGTGCGACTGCCAGGTCCCGGACCAACGCTTGAGCAGCTCACGCAAAGTGTTGGCGAAGGGGCCATGACCTCAAATCCGTGACTGCTCCACAGTTGTCACATGCATCAGGCCCACAGTATTGCGTCATTGCTAGATCAGTTCTGGCCCAAAAAAAAGATCTGTAAATTTCGACCCTGACTTGCTACACGTGGCCATGGCTGATGAACGTGAGCGCAGTCCAAGACCCCCGGCTTTGCGGCATGCGCCACCGCCCAGCACACCAGGAGCAGTCTGTTTAAAGAAAATTCTATGCTTTGCTGACAGTCTTACTTTTGAGGCTGAGTGTTTCTTTGATGTGAGTGGCAGGAAGCAATCATGTAAGTCGCACAGTATTGCGACGCTTTTGGTCTTGGTCATCCGCTTCAGAGATAGAAGCGCGAGGTTCCTTGCCTGCTCTAGGATGCAAAGGGTCAAAAACCTGAAATAATTTATCACTATTTCTTCTTAGGGGACCTCCCAAAGCCAATCTATGAGCCTGATGTCTTGCAAGAGCATCCATCCCTGAAACAAACTCCACCATGACAAAATAAGGCTGGCAAATCCCGCACTCAGATTCGCTGCCGGAGATTGACCCTGAGACTGGGGAAGAGATGTACTGGGTGCTTGTTGAAGACTTGCGTGAAACAGCGACTAGCTTTCATTCAGATTCCAAGTTCCACTTTCCGCGTCTTTTCCATCTTGTAGGCGCATGTTCTGTCAAAAGCGTTTACTGTACTCTTGCGCTTGTTTTCCCAAGATCCCAGGTGTATCGCCGGCGTGTTCGACCTCCTGCGCTAGTACGCCGCGGTGAGCTGCAAACGCAAGAGGAGTCGGTGCCTGGACCTGAAGAGGCTGGAACTGAGCACGTCGGCCTTGCGAGTGAGGCAAATGAGAATGTTCAGACGCTCACTGAAGTGGGCGAATCTCATACCCAATATCTTGTAGATCCGTTTCGTGATCTGGCACTTACAGGCTGACAAACAGTCTGAGTGGAACTTTTGATGGGGCATTGCAGCTTTTCTGAGCCCCAGTCATTCTGGAATGATTGGCTGCGGACAGGTTTTGGCTGCAGGGTGATTTGACTAGTGGATCGGCAACAAAAGCAAAAGCTGATAAAAGCGGTGTTCTTCCGCATGCACTTGCACACATGGAGGCATCCAGCCCAAAATGTCATAGAGCCTGCACAGTTTGTTCGGCGCCAAGGCCTCTTGCGCTGCAGCCCTGAGAAGTGCGAAGGCCGTTGTGAAAGAAGCTGGGTCTGCGGTGTCACCGGCCTTGAATGCGCTGGCTAGTAGGTCAGAGCGTCATGCAGAGTCAGTGTTTCACAGACTTGCATCGGAGCAAGGGCTTGCTCTGGATATTCCGCTGACTGAGCTGACTTTAGACTCCAACACTGTTGTGCCGGTACTTCTTCTTTCAGATTGGATCAAGAAACTTTTGACTCCTGACTTGTTTTTGGAAAATGTTAGATTCTTTTAGGTAGTAGGGATGCCTGACAGGGTTCCAATTGCGAGTGGCCTGTTTGCTGCCAAGCCCCCTGTCTCAGGAAGACCGGGAACTGGCACACTCTTGCTGGTGTTTCTCACCGGGATGCAGCAGCAGAAGAGTTGCAGTTGTTCTGGGACCGCTGGAGAGACTTGAGACCCACGCATCAAATTTTCGAGTTTGAGAAATCTCACGGAGTTGTTCTTTCTCGAACCGTCCCCATGATGCTTCATGGGGACGAGGGCGGGGAAAGAAGAGGACAGCAGTGATGTGCATCTCGGCCCATTCCGCTTTAGGAAAAGGCGTTCAGACCCGAAAGAAGCGGAAATTGGATCATCAGCTTACCGAACAACAGCTCAATTACGCAGGTGCAACGCATGTGACGAGGTATTTGATGGCAACCCTGCCGAAACAATACTATGAGGCTGCTGACAGCCAAGTCTTCGAACGATTGTTGGAAGAGTTGTCGAAGGACATTGGGCGATTGTCCCGCGAAGGTTTGCTGTGCGAAGATACTGGACTTCGATACTGGATCAGTCCCCTTTGCATTAAAGGGGACTGGCCATTTCTTCACAAAGTCGCTGGATTGGAGAGAAGCTTCTATAGTCAACCCAAAAGAGAACGGGCTGCCAGACCTTGCCGAGGGATTTGCCACTTCTGCCTAGCAGGCAGGGATGGTATTCCATTTGAGGATTGCTCCCAGGGGGCCGAATGGCAATATACCATGGGCATTGAGAAGCCATGGAGCAAGCGGCCAGTGATCTTGGACTTTTTGACGCACGACCCAACGTTTGAGGAAATTTTCTTTATGTGCGATCCATGGCACACATGGCACCTCGGCGAAGGCAGGAACTTTGCTTGCAACTGCATCAAGTTACTTTTGGACATTACACCCGGCAGAAATGTCGATGTGAGACTTGCACACTTGTTTACAACGTACAGAGAGTTTTGCCGCAGGGCGCGTGTGCAATGTTACGCGAACAGATTCTCTTCAAATCTATTTGGGTTAGTAGCTTCAGATTTCCCCACCGGATCGTGGACGAAAGGAAACTTTACAACCTCGCTTGTAAAATGGTTAGCTGACTATCTGTCTGCGCAGCGCAACAACTTTGTTCGGGGAAGCCTTCTGGACTTAGCAGCTCCTTTCATGAACAAGTAGTATACCTGTTTTGCAGCCAATCCTTTTTCCCCAAACAGTTTACTGTTGGGGTTCTATCTTAGAAAGAAAAGAGCTGGCCACACTCACTGGCCGCGCCCCTGAACTCTGTGGCTGGGCTC